CCCAAGTCCATATGGACATAGTAGGGCCATTACCGATTTCTTGTGGTTACAGATACTGCCTCACAGTCATCGATCACTTTACTCTTTGGCCCGAGGCATATCCCTTGCCTGACATAACTACAGAGACCTGTGCTCACACCTTCATCGCTGGATGGGTATCCCGCTTCGGCTGTCCTCGTAAGATCACCACCGACAGAGGCAGACAGTTCAATTGTGAACTGCTCTGCACCATGTCCACCATTGTTGCAACATCGTCCTACAACAGCCTATCATCCCGCCTGCAATGGTATGGTGGTTGTCTCCACCGCCATCATGTGTCATGATCCTCAGTGCCTACAAAGAAGACAAGGCATCCGCAGCAGAGGTAGTGTACGGCAAGCCAATTCGCCTACATTGAGAATTTTTCACGCCTAACACTGCTACCACACCAGATCTCAGTAGCTTCACGTCGCGACTCCGTCTTCACATGGCTAAGCTCACCTCAGAAAGTGCGAGTCAGCATGGCAAGAAAACCTTCTATGTGCCCAGAGACCTGTCAACCGCGGAGTACGTTTTTAGACGCTGTACGGCGTTCACTTGAACACAAAATACGATACATAATACAATGACTTTATTATATAATTATTCATTTTCAATTTTAATAAACCGTACAAAATGATATTTTTAACTCATATGGTAATAGTTTGTGCCATCTAGCGTATTCTTTACGTTCCACCGTGAGAGTCAATCAATTTTCGTTCGATAAAACGACTTCACTTATAGAATTAAGTAGATGGCGCAAAAAATTTTATATACTGAAGGACTAAAGGAAATATTCTTTAAAAACCTCAATACGTGTATTCTTTTGATTTATTACATTAAAATTTAGGCTTCACATTAAAAAAAATATTGTAACAATTATTTGCTATAAAATTAAACTTATACCTATCTCATATTTTATGCTGCCGTTCAAAATGATATATTTAACTCACATGGTAATAATTATTAAATTAAATAAATTAATAGAATTATTAAACCTCTAAATACGCTTAGTTTAATTAAACTTTAATACTAATGAGTCCTGTACCTATTAAAGTATGAAGAAATGTTTATTGAAATAAATTTCATTTTTAAAGATTTTATTTTTTCCTCGCCGATTAGCACTTTAACACACTTCAACTCATCACAAGGAACACTCCATTTTCACTAAAAATCTTTGAAAAAAATCTTTTAAAAAGCATAAATTTACAATCTCAATATTCATTCGCTCAAGCTAAACACACAGAGTAACACTTGCATCAACTTCATATCAAAAGCCCGGCTTAACGCTCCATACTAAATTGCTATGTAAACAATCGTAGTTATATTTCATTATAGAATATTTTACCACAGGTTAGAAAGGGAGCGATCGTCTTCTCGAAAGCTCGATAATAAGCCCACGCGTGCGAGAGAGACGACTAATAGCTCAACTCAACTCTTTGCTTTCATTAATTTTGATAGAATCAGGGTTACTTTGCGGAAATCCATTATAATAAAAATAAGGACGTACTTTTTGAGGTTAAGGGTGTAAGATTTTCGGAAAGTGCAAAGAAATTTTTTTTTTTTTTTTTATTTTTTGCAGTCCATTGCGTTTTCGCTTTGAGACTTATGGGTTGAATGGTAGTGATTAGAGAATGCTTTATATAAAGTTTTAAAAAAAAACACAAATCAGTGTATTTCGAATTGAAAATAATTTGCCAAGTGTTGACGTTACATTCTAAGGCTACGAGGTCATGACCTGTGTAGAACAGAGGAGCGCGCGGGAAATTTGAAATAGTTTGAAACAGTTTACCAGTTATTTTATTAGTTGATATTATATATTGAACAGTGATAGGGCAAGCCCGGCTTCTGGGCTTCTATGGAAAATTCACCACCGCTCGCCGCTTCCCCCAGGTAAGTATTCTAAGCTGTTTTATTTGTTGTTCTTTTATGTGCAGCAGCTCATCTCCCGTCGTGTCAGCCAACGCCTCAAATTAATTTCAAAGTAAGTATATTGTCCAAGGTCCGCCACGTGCCACGTCCACCATTTTGTTTTGGTTCCTTTGGACCACGAACAATCAAGTGGACTATATTCCACTTGATTGTTCGCACCGCCATACCTTTGGTCACTTTTCGCGCACCCATTGGGGATAAAAGGTAGCCTAGCCTTTTTAATGTTTCGAGCTATATGAATACATATTGTCAAAATCGTTTGAGTGGCTTAGCATTTCCTGTCACAGCTTTTTTACCCAAGTTGGCGGTTTAACGACCAATAACGACTAAATTTGCAAAGCCTACTTAGATGTGATAGTTTAACTTTTTTATTTAACCAGACATCAAACTATCTTAATTTCATCAAAATCAGTTCAGCAGTTTAGTCATGTAAGAAGGGCACATTTTCATTTTCATATTAAATAGAAAAACATGAATTTCCTTTCTGCAGCAATACATTTTGGCAGCGGATAATTATAATAAAAATATTTTTGTGTTATATTTATTATTTGAAGTAAAATTTTAAATTGACAACATTAAACAATAGATAACATGTTTAGTATTAAATACATAATTTTGAATCATATTACGGATTTTTTAATCGAAAAATTTTCAATGAATCGTGTATTTGAAGAACACAAAACCTTTCTACGTTGAATTTAAATTAAAAAGTCAATACTTTAGTATTTATCTTTTAGTAGAAGATTGTACAAAACTAAATGTTACTCCCACACTAGGACTTTCTCCTGTATTGTAGAGGCAGTGATATATACATTCAAGTTTAATAAATAACTAAACAAGACTACATACCTAACTGTGATACCATTATGTACTACAGTTAAACGCATAAACTAATATGATGCTACGCATCTTATACGTGATCATAAGCTTTTTATTTACAATAAGAAAAAAATACTTACTGCGATTGTATTTGCAATTAGTTTGTACACTATTTACAAATAAATATGTATTAAAATTTAAACGATTTCTTTTTTTAATGATGATTGTGAACACTAATTAAAAGGCTAAAATATGCAAATTTGCTTAGTCTGTCAACACAGTTATTTCTTCTCTTTCTTTTCAGAAAGAGACCGTTTGTAAAGATTTGTTGCGAATCCGTTGTTATTGGCTAGAAATAGAGTCTGATTTTATGTAATATTAAATCCTTTATTTATTGAAATTTTTATGACCAATGAGCGAATTGAATTTCTATGATAATATTCTATAACAATAGGACGTAACCGCTTGTATGTGTTTTCCCGGCAACACCGATTTTCAAACAAAATAAGGATGGCAGCCATTTTATTGTGTATTATAGTATTCTATGGGGTTATAGATCTGATATAGGACTTTAATAAGGCATACATTTCTAATAATTCCCATTCCGATTTAGGTGATTCTAGAAAATAAGTATAAGAGGTCATTCCATGTCAAATCAACACACTGATTCAGAATTGATGTCTCAGATTTTCATGATTTTTTTAATGCAGTAATATATCACACTCATGAAAAAAATACCAAATTTCAGTTATTTAGTAGGTACAATTATTTTTGAAGTTATTGATTTTTAAAAATTAAAATTTTTTATCTAAAAAAATTCACTTTTTCTCACCTTTGGATGCCTATAAACTGACAACCAATGATGACATACACCTGGGAGTGGTCTCATTTTAAAGCTGTTGAATGGGGCTTTAATATAGGGTTACAATTTATAAAAATGATAATTTTAAAATAATTTTTTTAAATTTAAATTTTTTTAAAGTAGCAATACTAAAAATTTCAAAAAAATTATCAAATGTAGTTTATAATGTCTTAATACATACAGCACAATTCCATCAGGGGATCTCAATGGGATCAAGAGATACAGGGCTTCAGAAATACACATGTTTTATAAATAAACAAGTAGTAAAATTTTACTATGCAGTGTGCAGGTCACTATTAAATTAATAAAACGCAATGATTACTTTATACTACCATGTTTGGAAACCTTAAAAGAAAACTGAAGCTGATTGGTCTACAAGTAGAGTGGAATCCATTTTTACTCAGATAAAAAGGGTATTTTCTCAAGGGAAAATCTCCTTTCATAAGGCGGGTGCGGACACTGTGGATTCCTTTTGCAGATGTGATACGCAAATTGAACCCCGTCACACAGACTGGCCGACCATACTGCGTACCGGACAGTGAAGTGAACAAATGTGTGGATATCTTCCGAGTTATAAAAAGTTATATTGATGTGTTTATTATATTTTTTTATATATTGATAGACCAGGTAGACTGAATAATATTTTTTAACGCTTATCTCTAATTGATTAATTAATTTGTTATACTCGATTTAATTAATTTGTTAACCCTTAACTTTACCCATAATATCCATATCCATATCCATAATGTCCATGTGACCTTTTTGCATTAAATTTTTTTAAAGTAATACCCTCCGCTTGTTTCATTGTAATATGTTGCTTGTTTCATTCGATGAACTATTAAAAATTTTCTGATACAATACTAATTCTGATATTTTTCACTAAACATGTATTTTTGAAGCCCTGTATCTCTTGATCCCATTGAGATCCCATGATAGAATTTTGCTGTATATATAAAGACATAATAAACTATATTTGATAATTTTTTGAAATTTTTAAAATATTCACTTTAAAAAAAATTAAAATTTTAATTTTTTACAATTGTAACCTTATGTTGTGGCATATCATATTATTAAAGCCTCATTCAACAGCTTAAAAATGAGACCACTCCCAGGTTTATATCATTGCTGGTCAGTCTATGGGCATCCAAAGGTGCCAAAACATGAAATTTTTTGATAAAAATTTATATCTTTAAAATCAATAACTTTAAAAATAATTGTACTACATAACTGAAATTTGGTATTTTTTCGTGAGTCTGTGATATATTGCTGCATTAAAAAAATCATGAAAATCTGAGACAACAATTCTGAAAATCTCCCAAAATTGTGTTGGATTGACATGGAATGACCGTAAGGATTAAACACTGAATACCTTTCCCAAGGACTTGGCCTTCTCTATGATGGCTTGAGAGTTGTCCCAGTCCATTAAGTTGCCTGTGTTGTCCACGCCAAAGTCCCAGTTGTCCAAAGTGTGGAACATAAAACGGTCATCACTGATCATATTGGAGGGTGAGTTCCCTTCGTAGTATGGATTCAGTGTATTTGCTACCCACTGCCACTGGAAATTTTACAATTTATGCTTAAAAAGTTACATTAATAAGTTGAGAGTTGGCTAATATAAGCCATTTATTATTGGCCATTATTGGCCATTATCACGACCAAGGAATCAAAAATCTAAGCTCAATCTCAAACTTGAGGGCCCCCAAACATGACAGATTAACTGGAAAAAAACATAGTTGACTTTATAAGCCCATTGTCACATATAACTGTAGCCTATCAATTATGAGAAACCATAACTTAAAAGAAGAAGAAAATTTTTTGCCTACAGTCCGTGTGTATTCATTAAATTATATACTAAGGAATAACTATATCTCTGTCTTTAGTTTAAAAAAAATTTAAAACAATAATATTTGATTGCAACTTTGCTTTTAATATTAAGCATATTGTTCATTTTAACATAATTAAAATACTACATTGCACCTGCTGTGATAATAATAAAATAGTGAGGCTTTTAATAATGGCTTCTTGTAAGTAATCACATATACTGCTATGTTTTTCAAATTCGGGAAGACACTGTTGCCCATGCACATCAATAGGACAATATGGTGTAATGGATATTCTTATATTATCTTTCTGTTTCTTTTTCTGCAACTAAAAACTATCTAAGTCCTCAGGGGTACTACATCTGCATTTTTATTCTTGTTTGAGGATAGATGTAGATTTCTATGAGCCACAGCATCAAGTGTTCGTTTGTCACCCTTATTCTATAAAAAAAGTACAAGTGATCATATTGAAATACATAGAAAGCACCTTTTGTTTTCATGCCACATCCTTTTTATCAATAATATTCTTAATAAATATAAAATCAAAATACTTAAAATGAACTACTCTCTCTAGAGAATGTAAAGAACACTAGTGGATTTTTTTCTGAATCACAACCTGGGCCAAAACCAAAATATACAAATAAAATTGTAGTATCTGTTTATAATATCTAAATAACAGCCTTATATTAAACTAAGTAGATTACATATTTGCATGCCATTTAGACATGAATAACAAAGATTTCCCAAATTTTTGTTCATCGGTCTGTCTATACAGGCTAATCTTCAGAATAGCCAAAGAAATTTTGATGAAACTTTATTAACAAATAAAGAGCAATGCCAAGAGGGATATAGGCTATATTTTATCCTAAAAACTTTAACCTTTTTTTTTTTGGAAAAGGAAAAATTGATATGATAAGTGGTCTTTAACTTGTATCTTAATAACACCACATTAATAGAGAATCTAACCAGGTGAAGTAGTAGGGTAGAAGTTCTTAATATGTTTTGTAATAATCTCATAAGAAAATGTATCTTTCACAGTATATTCTTCCAAAAGTCTATATAAAAATGAGAATTGAAAATATGAAATAATTAAACATTATTGTAAAAGTGGTGTCTCTTAAGAATAAATAATATAGGCAAATGGTGAAGAAATATTAATTAAAAAGGCTTATTCTGTCCTTTTTATCTTTTAAATTCAAAATGCATGGCAATACATTATTTTACTGTGCACGCACACATTAGTAGGGTCGATCAGTGGGCAAAAAACATTGTTGCCCATAAATCATATTCAATTTGGGATAATTTTAAATACAAGCCTTATTTACACATATTTTCAAAAACTGCAATGATGGTATATCATTATTTATACTGGATGACCTTTTTTAGCATCCGGAAAAAAATAAAGTGTAACATGTGAATGGAGTAGAAGTCTATGGCACTAATATTATACAAAATATAAAATCAAAAATTTTGAATTAAATAACTAAAATAAAGTTTAAAATTTGGCTGCTCTGAAAAATAGCGCTGTGTATACTTTACATATTATTCATTTTTTTTTAATGTTACCCCCACACTTGGTCTTTCTCCTGTGTTGTACAGGCAGTTTACAAACATAAATTGCACAACCCATATCCGTAACTATTAATTGCAGGCCATACAAATACTTGTCTCATGTGGGACTCGAGCGTAGTCCTTAGGGAATGTACCCATACCATGTGACCTATTCAGGCAGAAGGGGGTCTCCAAAATACCATGCTTCGTCTCAGGGGGGAGGAGGGGGGGGGGTAAGTTTTCATTACATAGTCAATATTCTCTAGAGAAAACTTATGCTTTTTAGAGCTATATTCAAATATGGTGCACAGCGTTTAGCACTTTTTAAACTCACAGGTGGCAAATCTCTTTTCAATACTTGAAGCTGAATAAAATGTCACTGTAAAAAAGCAAGATACAGGACTTGAGAAAGACGATTGAGAAAAAAATGAAAAAATTAAGGCATGATACTAATGTGAAGAAAAATGAGTTAAAAGGAGAAAATAGTCCGTGCAAAGAACATCTGTTAATTTAGGCAAAACAAACAGCTGAAGTTTTCAACCTAAAATCTGCTCATCTTAATATAATATGAATGTGTTTCACTTGAAGGAAATTAATCAGGACTTCTTTAATTAATTTGCGATATAGCAATACATGGAAGCTCAGCTGCTGATTAACACTGATCAGAAGTATTGAGAACTAGTAAGACTTTTGATGAACTGCATACACAGCTTGTTTAAAGATGAATTTTTTATCTCATGAACCTCTACATACAGTGGGCTAATTCTAAAGTAAAAAAACCGGTCACATAGTATGTGTTCACTTAGTGCTTCAACTCACTTTTAAGCCACTATATCATGGAGTCATCTAGCTGGCTTCATGTTTGTGTACAAACCACGATCTATGATCAAAATCAAAAATATTAAAAAACCAAGCTAATGATATACTTACAACAATATTTGGATGATGCAGCTTCAGGTAATGATTTAAAGAAGTAATGAATGCACCAGGAGCTTCACACAAGTGCAATGACACCATCTTCATATCACTTACAGCTTCAGTGGGGATGACGTTGTATGTTGATGCACATTCATAAAACTTTGTCCAAGCTTGGGTAAGAAATTCAGGATTCACCAAGCATCTGAGTTTCCAGCAAACTTCTCCAGCTGGGTTTCTTCGACGAGTATGACTACTCCACTCCTCAATGCTAAAATCGTTTAACTGGCTTTTGTGATGATTCAGACGACTTTTTAAGTACTCCAGTCCTTTAACCTTCCAAGGAGATTCGGAAAACCAGTTATCAACAGCCGGCAATACCCACTCGCTATTGAAACGAAATTGAAACTTTTTGTTGAATAAATCATTCAATTTCTCTTCAAACTCTTCACCTCTATAAAGCTTTTGTCGCGACTGCAAAAGGTAATTTTCCCCAGACGGATACATTTCTGTAATACAGTCGGTTCAACCTCAGAAGTAAAGATTAATCAAACTCTAGACTTTGAGAACATTCTTGACAAATGGTTAGTAAATCTAAAATTTTAAACCTCTATATGTTAGCGAAATGTATTATGACAAGAATATCTCGCACCTCTATCACATCGTTCTTTGTTTTCAAAAAATCAATTTTATGGTTCTCAATGTTTACAAAAGCCAACAAAAGCTTGAAAATTGAATGTCAAACTTCTGTTGTTTTACTATTTCTGAATTCAAGCAGGCAAAGGTCTTAGACTACACAGCCTAGTCTGATGTGTATTTTGTTTACTAAATTATTCTTCACAAATATTTTCGCGCCTTTCCCGGCTAATATGCGCTCACCAGATGCCGCCATTTGGGACTAAGTTGAATTATTTGTTAACCCTTAATAAGGCAAAGGGATATAGTTTCCCACCAAGACTATTTTGAAAAACATGTTTATTTTACATGAAAGATAGCCCATAGAATGAACGCAACCGAAATATACTATTCTTTAGAAGATTTTAAATTTCATAACTTGCAACACTTTTCAAAAAATGACTACCTTATATTGAAATGTCAATGTCAAAGTTCAGTGACGTGAAAAAGTGCTAAAATAACGGTCGATTTTTGGTTACTTCCGAGAAAAAACCTTTTATTGTTCAACGAAAAATCTTGTAAGTAGATTATGTTTCCATCTTTTTATGAAATGACAACTTTAGCTATGTTTTTTTATTGATTTTATGCGTATAACATTGATAACAGCGTTAAAATCTGCGAAATACTAAGTGGGAAAATTATTCCCTTGGCCCGATTGAGTTTATAATTTATTTCTTATTATATATATGAAAGTTTGAACTCACAAATATGTCAATACAAAATACAAATAATAATAGAATGCTGAAATTTGAATGAAAGTAAGCTTCTTTGGGGATGTAGATGTGATATTTACATGTAATAATTTATTTGTAGGATTCACCATGAATAAAAAAACAAATTTAGGGAAACTGGAGTTAGAAGATATCATGAACAACCTGTCAGATTTATCCGATCTTGACTCAGATGATGATGCCTATTACCAAACAGCCCCTGTAACCAGCCCGGCAGATTACCAGAATGAGTCTCAAGATGTTATTGTTGAAAGGCGTCTTGAAGAGTTGTTTGGTGTATCTGATAACTTTGAAGAAACTATTGAAAGCCAAGAAATATATTCAGTAGAAGCACTCACAGATATTTTAGAAATAAATAGTCCTAGACCTATTGGTAGTGTGGGTGAGACAACAGGACAATATGATGTTCTCCCAACAGAGGAAAATATTGCAACTTATGAAGAAAGCTTTGTTATGGATTGCAACCAACGAGAAACTGAAATAGAGCAATGCTTAGATGATATCCGTGAAGAACACTCCCACTATACTCCAATATCTACAGATGACTTAAATGCAAGACCTTCAAGCAGTAATGTTATTGTAACAGAACCGGATCGTCGCTCAAGATCAAGCAGAACTATGAATACAGTAAGACAACCAAGGGAGTGGAAAATTGAAACAGAGATACACAATGTTCCTGAATTTACCAATTCAATTCAACCACAATCAACATATAGTCATAAAACGCGGCCTATCGATGTTTTTCAAAACTTTTTCCCAGAATATTTAGTACAAGTTCTAGTGGAACAAACAAATAGATATGCGGTTCAGAATAAAAGCAATAATTTTACACTAGTATTATCAGAGGAAATGAAAGCTTACCTTGGAATATTAATAATGATGGGGTTAAACCCATTGCCTGATATGGAGCTATATTGGTCTAATGACCCTTTTTACAATAATGCAGAAATTTCAAAAATTATGCCTATCAAAAGATATAAAAAAAATAACTGAAAATTTACACATAAATGACAATGAAAAAGAACCAAATAGGAACTCACCGGAATACGATAAAATGTACAAGTTGAGATCAATGATTCAAGAGCTTAATAAATTGTTCCAGCAGGAAACAGGTAATTCAAGTAAACAATCAATAGATGAATGCATGGTGAAGTTTAAAGGAAGATCATCTTTAAAGCAGTATATGCCAAAGAAGCCAATCAAGCGTGGCTTCAAAATCTGGGCACGTTGTGATTCTGTAACCGGCTATCTGTACCAGTTCGAAATTTATACCGGGAAAGGAGACAGTATGGAAGACGAGGGACTGGGGTACAATGTGGTCTAAAAGCTGTCAGCCGGCCTTCCTGAGAACACTCTGATAGCGTTTGATAACTTTTTTCACTAGCTGTAACCTAATGGAAGATTTGTACGAAAATCAAATTTTTGCTGTTGGTACATGTAGAGTAAATAGAAAAGATCTTCCGGAAATTTTTAAAAAGTCTCAACTAAAACATTTAAGACTTGAAAGGAACCAATTTGCAGCTGTAACTGCTAAACCAATTACAGCAATCAAGTGGCTTGATACAAGGGATGTTAATATTCTTACAACAGCTCACCATCCAACTGACACAGTATTTGTAAAGAGAACTCAGAAAGATGGTACTAAAAAAAAGTTCTCATCCCCACAGCTATCGCTCAGTATACGCTCACCATGGGAGGCGTCGATCACTTTGATCATTTCAGATCATCATATCCGATCAATAGAAAATGCAGGAAATTTTGGATGAGATTGTTTTTCTTTATGTTTGATGCGGCAATCATAAACAGCTATATAACCTACAACACTGTGCATGTAGCAAGTATTCATTCTCATAGAAGTTTTCGATTGCGATTGGCTCGTGAGCTGATATCAAATTACTCTAACAAGGTAAAACGCCAGGTTGTTTTCAAAAACAAAAAGGGCTCCAACTTTGGAGTTCCAGATGCGATACGTTTACTCAATGTCGGCGTCCATCTTCCAGATGAAGGAAATACTTACAAAAGATGCCGATTTTGTAGCACAGAAAAAAGAGGAGAGAAGAACAAAAATAGTATGTTCCACGTGCCAAGTTGCACTATGTGCAAAGAAATGTTTTAAATTATTCCACGAGGCTTCACCCCAAGAATAATTATATTTTAACACGCTTTTAGCTTACTTGTAATTAGCTATATTAATTATTAGAATAAAAATGCGATTGCTATACCGCTTTTTATTTAGCATGCATGATAATATTCATAGGTAAATAAAATAAAAGTTCGTAACGCATAAAAAAAAAAATTAAAAAATAAATGAAATGAAAAAAGCCAAACCAGGTGAAATACTAGTATATGAATAACAACAAAACTAGGCATAATTCCCTTTGCCTAAATAGGCGAAGGGAATTATTTTCCCACTTCGAGACATAGTGCACATACATAATCGGGCAAAGGGATATTATTTCCCACCCAAAAAAAGGGGGTAAAAACCATCCCCCTTTTTCAAAATACTTTTTTTAAATTCTGCAGTATCTATTTACACTATTTCCACTGTAACTTACTTTCTAGCTGTAACACAGGCGCGAGCCTTATTAAGGGTTAATCAGATGGTCAAACATTGTCATCATCATTTTTTCACTCTACTCATAGGAATACGGTGTATCTATTTCTAATTAAAATTATTTATTGATTAAAACTACTTTTACGGATTTTATCGCGTTTAATTTTATTTATATAATTTAATGATTTCTTATATTTAAAATATACTATTATAACTATTTATATAAAATATATCTATAGTTCATAAAAGATAGCTTGATCTCTGCGACAGCTGTCAGTAAAATCACGCCTATGAAGTCCTGAATTTCTTAGTAGTACAGACAGTACCTGTCAATGTCATACTTTATGGGCATGCCGACCTAATTAGTGAATGCCCATAAAGTATGACATTGACAGGTACTGTCTGTACACTGACCTCTATATATACAAGTACGCTGGACTACACCGTGTTTGCGCCCTCCTTTCTGCCAAGGGGGTCGCGTTCGTATACGGCTTAGAGATCTCTAGTCAGATCGTTAAGCCATTTCCTAAAAGGCGGTGTTTAGTGGGTAAAAGTCTCCACATAACCACGCAGCCGGCTGCGTGGTATGCTATGAGCATTCACCGCCTCCCTCCCCCGCTTTCCGGAGAGTTGCCCATATTTGCTTCGGGCGCAAAAAAAAAAAAAAAACTACACCGTGACATGATGAAGCGATTTGATTTCCGCCATTTTGGCGCTGACATCAGAAGTGCACGTACACTGAACTAATACTAGGGATAAGACAGTGTACCAAATTATATGGATAAAAATTCTATACCCCACCTATACCTAAATAAATAGAATGGACTTTATGGATAGATGGACTCTACCCGTAACGTCCTTTCTATTTATGTATCATATTAATATAATGCCATTATCATTCATCATCATTAAAACCCTTCACAAATCCACTGCTGAACATAGGTCTCCCCCAAAGGAATGCCACAAAGCACGGTTCTGACCTACCTGCGTCCATCAACTTCCTGCATGTCTTACCAGGTTTTGACTCCATCTAGTGGGGGAATGTCCTACACTTCACTTGCCAGTACGAGGCTGCCACTCGAGAACCTTTTTTCCCCATCGGTATTCGGTTCTTCGAGCTAATACGGCCGGTCAATTGCCACTTCAGCTAACTAATCCATTAGGCGATGTCAGTCACTCTGGTTCTGCTGCAGATATCCTCATTCCTAAGTTTGAACCCCTGAGTATAGCCCTCTTCATAGCTTGAGCGACTTCGAGCTTCCTCATACGGCCAGCAGTGAAAGATCTCGTCTCAGATCCATATTTCATCACTGGCAACACGCATTGGTTGTACAATCTAGTTTTGAGGTATTCCTGACGAGAAGATGTGTTGTAATCTCCCGAACGCTGCCCAGCCGAGTTGAATAAGGACTATATTGTCCGCAAATTGAAGGTGAGTGACGTACACGACATTGACGTTAATACCGTATCCTTTCCAGTCCAGTAGGTTGAAAACGTTTTCTAATGCAGCGGTAAAGTATTTAGGGGATATTAAGTCACCCTGTCTTACACATCTCTACAGTTGGATTAGTTTTGTACTCTGGTTCTGTACTCGGATAGCCATCATAGCCCTTAACCATTCAACTAAAAAAATATTAAGATTAAATTAAGTACATAAAATAAAAATAAAACATAATTTCTGGAATAATTTATTGTCAACTGTTCACTTTGTTTTAGTATTATAAAAAACAAATCAGATGCTATAATAACGCCTATTCTAATCAACTACAGGTCTGTTTATTGACAGGAAAATATTTTCTACTATATAAAAATTTATGTTTGTTCGTACTTTCTACGACGCCATACCGTTCATCAGATTGCGGTAAAACTTGGTCAACTTATTGGTTGCACTTGTCAAAAGGATATACGCGTGGTACAATTAACCGACACTAAGTGGCGTGCGTATTATACTGGCTATTTATTTGAAAGTTGTAGAAAGTTCTATATCATTCTATTTCAATGATTGTATTATCATTCCTAATTATACAATATAACTGTTCCACATTTTTAACGATATATCCACAATTATTTCTTCTGCGGCAGCAATGCGCCGGGTATGAGCTAGTGAGATTATATAAAAAAAATATAAACTTTGAATTACATAGTTATTTACAATGTAATTTTCGAAATTAAAATTACAATATTAAAAAAATAACTGAAATATTCAATTACCGAGCCCGATATGTGAATGGAGCCAGGGAAAAACGAGCACTTGGAAGCATCAAATGGTGCAGCCTCACCAAAGTCGCGAAAAACAGTCGAGTGGCGCATCGCCAATCGCCATACCAACACTCCTCTTCCAGCAGAACAGGGAGACGAATCTCCTCTAGCCGCAGCCCACTAACACACATCCAACGTGACTCGACATCATCAGGCGACCTTTCGACACTTGGCTATGGCCCTTGAGTTTGGTGGAAAATGAAGAAAGAAGAAATAAAAAAATCATTCGAAATAATAATCTAATACTTAGTACTTGGTAGTTGGTTACTTGGTACTGGTACCACCAGAAAATATTGTCGGTATACTGCACTTTTTCAAAGTGGTGCAGTTCTCATGTCTAATAAAACAGTCGTCTCTGAAATGTTTGGAACAAATATGATCATTTTGTTTCGGACGCCAATTCACAATATTTATGATATTAAGCCATATTTTAGTCTAGGTTCAGTTGGAAACCTGTTAATTAATAAACATTTGATAATCATCTCTTGTTGCTGACTTTGTTTGTTAACAGATATGGGTAGGAAAGAACATCGATAAGTATTATAGACAAGGAACTCGACAACCCTATTGAATTCTATTGTTTATCAAAACTCAGTAACATACAGCTAAACATGTTGGTATATATGATATTAAGATTAGTAACAAATTTCTAAGTACTTATATTATCAAATAGTTTTAATTTGTTTAATATTTACTGCAAATTCACTTACTTGTGAAATGTTATACCACTTCCCTTTTGGTAACGAGTTTTACAGATTACGCACCCTCTCATTTTTAATGAAAATAATTCTTATTATGTAACTAATATTATACACAATCAAACAACATAAAATACTTTCGTTTTTTAGTTTAAAAGTTCAAAATACAGACTTATTTATTATGACAATATGAATAAGACAACATACTTTGGCATATTATGTCAATTTTATTTTTCAAGACACCTTTAGCGGCGCTTCAAATTGGTCATTTTGTATGGTATAGTCAGTCCAGCGTACTTGTATATATAGAGGTCAGTGTGTCTGTACTACAAAGAAATTCAGTACTTCATAGGCGTGATTTTTACTGACAGCTGTCGCAGAGATCAAGCTATCTTTTATGAACCATAATATATCAAAGAGAATGAAGAAAAGAAAAATAACTTCCGTGCTATGGCATGCTATTGTTACAAGCTTAGGGTTCGTGACAGTAAAAACTGCCGATGAAATGAATTACTAAAATTAACACATTAATTACTGAACACTAATTAAAACTTAAAGGACACTAATAATTAATCACACTGATTCACTTTATTTCGCTCCGAAGCTTCGCGTGTATCGCCAAATTCAATACTAACCCGATCGCGGCTTGCAGCGGCTTTAAATATATCTTTTCCACCGAAACATCCAGAATATTCCAACAAATACGGGCGCCGACCGACCAGACGCAGAAAGTTCGAGTGTGGGGTTTCCAGAAAGCTTAATTCTTCTGTTCGATACTAGATGGCAATGTTGGTGGAAAGTTCAAGATTGAAATTTTCTAGGAAGCCTTCCTCGCTCTGGTCCCCAACACTAGATGGCACTAGTGCCAGGTACCAGACGTCAACTTAGGCGCGCAACACTATGTAATCTGTCAAATATATCACTTCACACAGCAGTGCTGGCGCATTGGTGGCGTAAAATGTCTTTTACAAAGGGTATATAATCACCATATTTTGTAACAACCAGCTAAAAATATATTTATTTCTTTTATAATAGAGTGGGCTACAAGCACATAGGTACCTTTATTATATAATACAATAATAATATTCTATGTTCTCAAGGTGCCTAAGGTGGCTTGTTACATCGTGCATTATATGCTACTACGTACATGACATACACGTCACTTTTACGTATCAAGATCTATTTCAAATTTAGTATGCTTTTGCTTACTGCCAATAAGAAACTACTTTTAGTGGCGAACTCTGTGGGATACGTA